ATTTGCTTTATTCATAAAAATGTGTCTCTTTGTCCTACATTGGTGAATTGAGTGTTCTTGATTTCTTGCTTAAGCTTACATTAGCCATTGTTGTTCTTATATAGCATTTGAAGTTTCTTCTTGCTTGTTCTAATGACAAATGATCATACACTGTTTTCAAATTTTCTGTAGCTGTAGGTGTCATGGTTATTTGAAAAGTTTTTCATGTAACTCACCATTCATTAGTGCATAAGTTTTCTACTTTTGTCTTAGTTTATAAAACCAAAAAGTATATATTTATCTGGTGGTAGTTCAATATAATTAGTTCTGCCTTTTGTATCATTAATGATAATTATAAATATAAAGCAATACAATATTAGTTTCTACTTTTATGTTTCTATTTTATGCACATCATTAACCACTGTTATGTATCTACATGCAGTATGGTCATTATGGAAGGTGATCCTAGTCCAGGTGCCATTAGAGGCCGAATGTCATTCCAGAGTTTTAATCCTTCTATTGATGTAAGTACAAAATAAAAATATTATTTTGACTTTATAGTCAATGACTTTTTGGTCAAATGTGAAATCATGTTATTTTAGAAATTAAACGAAGAGGCTTCAAACCCAAGACAATCAGAAAGTGATGCTACTTCCTCTGGGCATCTACCTAATAGGTTTGTTTTTGTTATCCTTGAATTTTATAATATAAAAATCAAATCTGTTTCATTTATTTAAAAGTAATCATGTATTTCTATCACAGAGAAAATGTATCACCAGAAGATGAACTAGTGAGCATGAGAGAAGAAACTTCAAGTGGAAAGAAAGCCAAAAGGAAACAAGCTGAAGTTATTTCAGACACCAAATCACCAAATATCAATGAAGCCAATACTTCTTCATCAAACAATGGTAAAAAGAGTTCTCATAAGCCACCTAAGCGAGGAAAGCTGGACTTTAATGTTTTAAGATCTCCTAAGAATCAAAGTAAAAGGTCATGATCTTGATCTTTTTCATGTTAAACAATTAAGAATATGCTTCTATTTTATATTTTTTGCCCTCAAACTTCTTAGTTTAGTTGCAATGTATAACTTTCCCAACAAGCTTATCATGTAACTAACTTATTGTTTTCCTTCCTCTTCCTAGTTTATTTTTAATTGATTGTAGAATGTTCAATATTTGTGATTTGCTTTATATTGAATGTATGGTTGAATACAGATGTTATTTGATGACCTACTCAACAAAACTAATCTGTTGAATAATGGGAATTATTATAAAGATAAAGTTAGTTTCTTAGGCTGAAAGATAAGCTAGAAAATTCTTAATAGTGTTGGTGGTTGTTTTTATCCATTGAACTAACATATATTATAAAGTTTGAATATAATAGTTTATAATATTGGCCTCTCGACTCTTCATAATCGTTCATATCTATATAGAATATTCAAAATAGGAAGATTCCCAGGAAACTGAGGCGTATAGGTTCAGCGAATTGTCTAAGGCACAGTGAAAATTGCATCATGATGTTGATGTTTTGGAAATATACAATTTAGGGTTTGAAAACGACAGGAGATTCACGTGTGTAATGTGTTTATACAGTAATATTTATTCAACTCTGTTTACTTAAATCCCAAGTGATCACCAGTAAGCCATCTAGAAGAATTTCTTGTTGTTTTAGACAAAATCTTGAAAATTAAGCATCGATTTAAGTAGGAAATACTTGCAAAAGATGGTTACATTAGAAATCAAAAAATAAAGAAAGACATGAAAAAGAATAGTAAAAATGCATATGGGAATCTAATCATCTATCTAGGATTCAATGACTTAAGCAGGTTTCCACAAAGAACAAGCATAAAGAACTCTCCCTTTCCATCCTTGCAACATCCATTTCCCATCTTCATCCACAATCCCACCTGCCGGAATCCTGCCCTGACATTCCTCGACTGCCACTGCTTATAAGTCTCCGGCCTCTCCACCCTCGTTGTCCCCTCACATGCCACCACATTCATCACCTCCCGCCCATACACCTCCTGCTCATAACAAAGCCTATCTACACTCTCTCTATCCGATGTCTGGTCAAACATGTCAAACAAAGTCGAGAAATGAAACAACGCCTCTCGAAACCGGTTCAACAAAAAAGGTGCATTGTGGGTCCCATTAAGAATCCCAAGAACAAATATGTCCGGATTGATCTCTCGTATCAACCGCAACACCGCGTCCCTTGGGCTATTCTCAACAACTGTCTCATCTAGAATGTTCCGTAACCTGTTAACCGAGTTAACAACTGTCAACACATTTCTATCAATCTTCAACTCCTCAATTCCAATCTCGTCCCATTTCTTTGCAATCCCGTGGAATTCAAACGGGACGTGAAACCTCTTGCAGAATTTCGCGAGACGGCGACCCGTTTCCGCAACCCGCTCCCCGGGTCGGAACCCGGGTTGTGGAAGGTCAATGCCCGTGATCTGGAGCACGGGCGGGCCACCGGGTCGCATAGACAGTTTTTTTATAAAACACGGCCATTGAAACCCGTATAAGATTCCAAAATCTATAATGTGAAGCTTATCTTTCCCTCTTGATAGCTTCTCGATTGACCCGTTGGCGAAAATATTTGACATTCGGTGAAACGGGCATGCAACCATGTAAGAATGGTAAGCCCGTAAGATCTGAACCGCCGATATTTTTTTAAGGTTAGCCGCCCGGTAAACCTCGGCCCCGTTGCCAGCTAAGCGGGCCTCGATCGCGTTTACGAAATAATACGCGAGTCTCTCGGTGGCATCTCCGTTTGGATTACAATGCTGTTTGAGTTTTCTCAACACTCCATAAATAGAATTAGAATTGTTGTTTGTAATCGCTTGCGCACATTGAGTTAGCAAATCCCGTAAATCGACCACGATTTCTTGATTGTTTGTGTTTTTCTTCCCTCGTGGCCTTCCTCGTTTTGAGGACTCATTCGTCTTTTTACCTAACTTGATCCGTTGAGGCTCGGGATCATATAACAGCAAATCTTCTTCGGGTTGATCGGATTCCAGCTCTGAAATGGTTGCAAGTTTAGCTTCTCGTTCTTCTTCTTGAACCGGGCTTCTCTTTCTGCTATGATGACTGAAATTACTACTGCTGTCGTCACTGCTTGTCGTTCCAGTGGAATATTCCGGTGGGCTCTCCCGGCAATACTGGTACGTGTCAAACGGTTGTTGTTCTTCGGGGTTCTTGTTAACTAGGATGTCGTACAATGACTTTTCAGCTGCTTCGACTTGTAGGGCTAAACACTCGTTGTACATACATGGCTTTTCTTGTAAGTCGTCTTCTTCCATGAGCATTTGGTTCAGGTACTTGAGGACGGAGTCATAATGGTCCGGTTTGTCCGAACCGGCCCCCACTGTTGTGGGGTCAAAGTTGCGCCGGTTTTGGGGGGGATGAACCGAATGGTGGTTGTAGGTGTTGATGTAGTTGTTGTTCATGGCATTTGAGTATAGAGTGTCCATGAAGGAAATTGAGTGAAAGTTTGAAGTGTGAGTTGAAATTAATACCGGTGAGGTGAGGGGTTCATATAGGGAATCAGGAGACGGTGGTTGCTTTATCCAGGTGAGATATGTACAAGTTTTAATGCGTGTGGTACAAGTAGTTGGTGAGTGATTGGGCTTGAGAGAAAAGAAAGAGAAATCATTGGATATAAAAGACAGAAAAACTGAGAAAGGAAGCTTCATAGAAACAGAGAAGTTGAGGGAGAAGTGAATCTTAGCCACCTTGATATATTTTACCGGCAACCGGAGGGCCCGGTGACGGTGAGGTTGAACCTGGTTCTATAAGTGAAGGAAGATTCAAAGGAAAGGAAGTAGTGTTGAGCCAAGTTGGAATTGTCAATTGACTGGATATATGACACTGACACCACGGAAAATGACTTTATTATTTTCTATATAATTAATAGCTTTTTATATATATATATATATATATATATATATATATATATATATATATATATATATATATATATATATATATATATAGTTTTCCTTCGTCTATGAGGTTTATGAAAAAGTCATCGTATACAAATCTAATATATGTAGTTTTATTTTTAATGGATATAAAAGATTAAGCTTACTAATGAAAATTAAGGGTGATGTAGGATGTTTTCATTAGATTTAATTTCGGAAGCCAAAAGAGAGAAATAAGCTCAAATTTAATTTATTTATAAAACTATTGGATGTGGGCAACGGTGGTCCATATAACATAAAGTGGGGTGGTGTTCTCAATGTTATTACATGTTATAACATGCCGTTAAGATGAAAGAGTTAGAAAGAAAAAAAATGATTTAATTGGGTGTTATCTCCTGTTCCCGTTACCACATCCTAATAACACAACATCTAATAACACCAAGTTGGGGGGTTGTTCCACTGCGTTTTTAGGCGTTTTTAGATAGATCTTAAGTGAAAAGCTCCAATCAAAATTCATGTTAGTATGGATGAGCATCGACCTTGAATAGTTAAATGGAGAGTTGAACTATATGTTTAATTGACATTTAAGAGCGTCTCTAACCCACTTTTGTAACACCCGTAAAAATTAAGCCAATTAAAAACTTTTTCAAACATCCAAAAGTCATTAGTTATTACAAAATGTTTTCAAAATAGTTTAATATCAGAGTATCCCAGAACCCATAAGTCCAAAACACGAGGATGTGTACGGTCACGCCTTCGCTTTGCCAAGACATCTGGAGCACCTGAAACAATAAAATAAAACCGTAAGCACAAAGCTTAGTGAGTTCCCCCAAAATACCCATACCCACAACAATACACATGTAATCATAAACAGCATACTATGGTCCAGTCAACCATTGGGTTGGAATACCCCCGGCCCACAACCAACAGGTTGGAATGCCAACATACTATGGGTCCAATCATCCTCAGGATGGAATACCCCAGGCCCACAACCAACATGTTGGAATGCCCACATACTATGAGTCCAATCATCCTCAGGATGGAATACTCACGACCCACAACCAACAGGTTGGAATGCCCAGGTCTATTCGTTTTCACACAAAGCAAATAAGCCTTAACCGCCAAACAAATATGTGCATATATATATATATATATATATATATATATATATATATATATATATATATATACACAGATAATCACATAACAGTCTATAGACAACAACTGATCTAACGGATCATACCACATAAAACATAATACCATCCTATGTACCAGGATACCGATCTACCAGATCATACCACATACTACATAATATTATCCTACCCTCTAGGATACCGATCTAACAGATCATACTAGCATAACTTAACCAGATAACAATCCAAAGGGTCGACTTTGGTGCCTTAGACCCTTGAGTATAGTGAGGATAACTCACCTGGCACTGCTGAAGTCCCACAGATGAAACTCCAGCTGCTGGTTGACAGATTCCCGAACTGCCAACATCAAACAACACCCAATTAATAATTAGGTTCCAAGCCCAAGGTCCAACTCACACTCCAAAGACCCAAAAGTCAAGTAATGGGCCAAAGCCCAACATGTGGCCCAATTTTCCAAATTAGGCCCAGACCTCTACATGGTCTTTCCTTAAGGCCCATTCAATTATTCTAGTCCAAACTATTGGTATTCCCATGACCCAATATCACATAATCATAAAGGCCCAGTTATGGCCCATCTATGACCCAATTTTCCAAATTAGGCCCAAGTCCTTCATATGGGCCTTACTCTAAAACTCATCCAATTATTTTGGTCCATTTACTTGTTCTTGGATTGCCCATCAATAGTCCCACCACCAAATCCCAAAAGAAAGGCCCAACTCAAGGCCCAATAGGAAGGCCCAAATGAATTTAGGGTTCTCACATGAAATGACAATTAGGGTTAAGTGTTTCTCACTTAACCCATAAACGACTTAATCCATTGAGGACTTAATCCATTAAGTCCATTATTGCCTTAGATTAATTTTCCAATGATTATTATTAATATTTTAACTTTATTAAATAATTCCCGTACGTGTCCCGATCAATTCCCAAAATTAGGGTTCCACATAAAATGACAATTAGGGTTAAGTGTTTCTCACTTAACCCATTAAGGACTTAATCCATTAAGTCCGTCACTCTTCTAAATAATTCATATGGTGTGATTGGGCTTAATACATAGTCCAATTCCAAAGGCCCAAATGTGGGTCCCGAAGT